GCAGGAATTAATTTCTTTGAGTTAGAGTCATTCAATGTACACGCCAGATCCCTTTTACCTGCTGCCCTCGCTTGGTTCCAGAAACAGAGCTTACAAAACCACCTGGTCTCCAGAGCACAGCCTTCCTGAGCCCTCTGCAGCCCACTGGTTTGCCTTTCACCCCGCAAGACACCGGTGAAAACAGACACCCTGGGCCTTTGGGCTGCACAGGGCACAGATTTCTTGCTGTACTGGTTTTCAAATGGCAGCTTCCAAAACGGAATCCAAGTGGGAGGGCATGTGGAAGCTAAGGGCAATCTGCAGCTATCTGTGGATCCTGTCTCCAGGCCCCTGCAGAGGAACGCTGCTCTCTCTTCCCTGCCACCCCTCCCAGCAAGCCTGGCCCTTCCGTGCTCTGCAGGTGTCCAGACTCCATGGCCAGTGTTTTGCACACCAGCTCCTGGACTTTATTCTTTTGGCTAAGCAGTGCTAGCCCAGCACTCATTAAGAATCAAGCAGAGCAAATCCCAAAGTCCTCTTCAGCTCAGCTTTCAATCCCTGACCACCAGTTTGCTGCAAGGAATGTGCCAATGGCTGTTTCAATGACACAGGAGAACTCTACCTTCCAGTCTCTGTTCTGGGGCTGAAGGGCACACAGAGGCCTCTCTTTGCTACCTGGCAGGATATGTTCAGGAGGGGTGCAGTCAATTTGTTCCATTTCGGTACCTTTCTTCTTCCGTTTTCCACTGTCTAGAACGGACAGAGACAAAAAGTCAGTGCTGGAAAGTGCAGCATTCCCTCCTCCAGGCATCATTCAAGGAGGGATGCAGAGTGCTCTGAGTGTTCCTCTGCACTCCCGAATGACACAGGACAGCTGACTGTAGTGTGTGTTTAACTAAGCAAGGAGTCAGGGAACGAAACACACCGGAGAAGCCTTTTTGCCCCATACCTCCCAGGTCTCCTTCAGTGAAGACACTCAGGAAGGACAACGAGTTACAGTCCACACCATTGAAAGCATCTGATGGGTCAAGACTCTTCAGAAGGTCCCGAATGTGACGCACATGTATCCTGGCTTCTCGCACTGTGTACGGCTCTGATGAGCAAAAAGGGAGGAAAGAAACTGAAATTACGCAGTTGCTTACTCCTTTGGCATACAGGTCTCAAAAAAGAACCACAGGAAAGGGCTGCCAGGTGGCCAAAACCACTCCCTATGAAAACCCTCACTCATTCCCTCCCAAGTCTAAAGGAACTTGCCTTCCACCACTTTCAGCAGTGAGCCCTCCTGCAGTCCTTCAATCGTTTTCAGCTCAGCAAAGTTATCGAGGACGTTGCCATCCAGCTGCAGGGAGAAGCAAGTCCGATGGCAGGTATCCTCCCGGTCCATCAAAACTTGGTGGATCTCTTGCACCATCTCTTGAGGGGAAACCTTAAGAAGGGAAGAACCCAGACAGTTTTCTTTACCTCACACATGTTCTAGCCAAACTTTGTTCCTCTGCTACAGAATCAAACCTCTTGGCCCTCTCCAGGCTCAGAAAGGCAGACTCTACCTCCCTTCCCAGGAAGATCACTTCTGTCTCTACTGGGAGGGCACTGTCTCCTCTCGCAGGGTTGGCCACCCCAGTTCCATCTCATGGTTTGGCACCCAGAGGTGTGACAGCTGGGTGCTGCACTGAGCACTCAGCATGGGACAGAGGTGACAGAGGGCAGAGAAGGAACAGAAGGTAGGTGGGGAAACTGGGGGTTCTTCCCTTCTCCATTCACACTGCATGTTTGTGGTGAGGCCTTGAATGATGCACATGGAAAACAGCCCATTTCCTCTCCCTGTGCCAGGGCCACACCTCTCCTGATGCCAGACACCACCCTGGCTGGTGCACCAGGGCTGCTCTCCCACCTCCCTGCTCTGCTCCAGCACCACCAGCTCTGATCACGAGCTTGGAGGACTCGAGGTAGTTCACATAAGCTGCTGTAAACAACAGAGCCTGCTATTATTAGCCTGTTAAAACTAACAGCCAAGAGGATTTAAAGGAGAAAGAAAGCCAGGCTGAGACACAGCTTGTTCCACCGGGGATGGGATTGCACTGCACTCTCTGCCAATCTTGAGAGATAAGACTTCCCATTGGGTTTAGATGCCAGACACCTATCCCTGAAATTAGAGACTTTCAAATACTTTTGGGTGAAGAATCAAGTTAAATGGGACTATCAGCTAGGTGTGTCAGAGCCCTTCCTTATCTGCCAGCACATGACCCCAGAGAGAGCTCTCTGTGCAGAGGGAAGTGGACACTGCATCATTCCCTCAGCCTTCAAGCCTCCGTCCCCCCTTAGTGCCGTCAGAGGATGGATAAGTCAGGGAGCTGTGAGCAGCCTGAAGGTACTGTCCAGACTCCAGAGGCTAACTGGGGCCTTCCTGGGCACAGTCCCCTGCCCTCTACCTTGCCAGCCTGGCTGAAGGGACCTGGCTCAAACACTGCTGCTGCCTCCATTCCCCCTCCCAACTGGAGAGGGCAGGTACCTGCAGGGAAAAGGGCTCTATCCCTGGTGCACAGATCTTGACAGTGAATCCTGTGTCCTGTATGACGATGACCTCCTGGTCGTTTCCATCTTCTCCTGGGTCAGCCTCCTCGTGGCCGTTCTGCCTGGAATCCTTCTCGCCCTTGAGGCTCTCATGCGGGCCGCTGCCATTCATCAGTGCCACGCCAGATGAGTGCTCTGGGCCAGGAGAGAGGGACCGAGATGAGCTCCGAGCAAAGGGACAGTCCTCTCTGCCCGAGTGGCTGCGGGGACCGGCTGGGACACCATCACTGTCCTCTGGCCAGCCCAAGCGACCCAGGGGCTCAAAGGCAGCGAGGGTTTTATTCTGCACTTGCTGCTCACTAGACAGAGGTGTGCCAGGCCCGACCCCTTGCAGCGTAATTAGCTCTTGCTCGCCTGCAGGGTTTGCATCTTCCACAAACCGTGTGTGGAGCGAGGAGGGAAGGAGAGCAGGAAGGATGGGTCAGTGTACACCACACTGAGCTGCCTTAAGAAGCCTCTTAATTAAAGAGATGGGTGTGTGGTGCTTTGCAGCCCAGAGGCAGCTGTAACCTCTGCACCAACACGTTACACACCGCTCATCCCTCGCGGGACGCTGCGGCACTGCTGGCTGCGTGGGAGCAGTTACTCCACAGCCTCATGAACAGCTCCCACACCCCTGCGCGCATCTGGCCACGCCGCAGCTCCAGAGCCCTCAGCGCAGACCCACAGTGCAGGGCGAGGCTCTGCCCGAGTGATTTTAAAAGGTGACGACATTTTAAGTGCTCGTTTAGACGGATGCTCATTTACACGATGCGTCACAGGGCCGGGGAGCTCTCTGCACCTACCTCACCGCTGCGAAATGGTTTGTTTTCTTTTCCAATAAGGTGGATGGTGTCAGAGAGCTGGTAAGACCTACGAAGCTGCCAGTCTCCTAGTGCCCTCTGAACCAGGCTGGGGACCATGCTAAAGAGGACCGAGGTGCGACCAGCATAAGCCGGAAGAGTGGCATGAGCTTGCTCATGAGCTTTGAGAAGCTGAAAAGAGCTTTGGCACTGCGAAATGGTTTGTTTTCTTTTCCAATAAGGTGGATGGTGTCAGAGAGCTGGTAAGACCTACGAAGCTGCCAGTCTCCTAGTGCCCTCTGAACCAGGCTGGGGACCATGCTAAAGAGGACCGAGGTGCGACCAGCATAAGCCGGAAGAGTGGCATGAGCTTGCTCATGAGCTTTGAGAAGCTGAAAAGAGCTTTGGCAGAGGGCCCTCCTCCCCTCCCCTGCCAGTACCATGCTGCCCCACAGACACGGGCGCTGGGCACGGGAGGGCAGCGGGCGCTGGGCCCGCAGCCTGACTCGCAGCAGGGCTGGCCCCCCACGGCTGACACACTCAGCTGCTGCCCCAGGGTCACACAAGGCAGCTCCAGCTCAGGGCTCAGGCAGTGCAGAAGGAGTGGGCAGGGGGCTTTGCCAGGCAGCAGGACCAGCCTTTCTGCAAGGCTGCACAGGGTCAAGGCAGCTCAAAGCCAGACTAATGCCCAGAGGCTGCAGCCCTGCAGCCAGCTCCATCTGGCAGGTCTCTCCTCCTCACCTCCCAGCAAGGCACCAGGCCCAACCCTAGCTGTGCTCCAGGGGAGACAGCAGTTCTGTCTCCCTTGTCTCTGAGATGTGGACTGGTGCTGTGGCTTGAGGACCTACAGCTCTCATGGCTAGTTCTCACTCATCAACCCCAACTGCTCCTGCAGCCCAGAGAAGTCATCCAGCCTTCACCATGACCCAGAGCAGGGATGGCAATGCCATATCCCCTGTGTGCCTCCTGAGGCTGCAGCAACAGGCCCTACCGAAGGGTCATACCCCTGCACTGGGGGCTCCAGACCATGACTGCCCACAGCAAACCCTCAAGAGACAATCACAGCTGAATTAGGACATAGTGAAAAGGCAAGAAATGCAATGAGAGTGCATCCATTCCAAAAGGCAGCAGGTAGTAGAGCTACCTCATGCAGCCTCTGCTGCCTTGAGCAGCTTGGCAGCTGCTGCTCATGTTCCCTGTCACTGTGCCGTATGTCCCCAGCACAAGCTGCTCATTTCTTTGACAGATGAAGCCACGGGCGAGCCAGACAAGAGGCCTGGCTCTGGCTCCAGCAAGCTGCAGTCATGCTGCAGATGAGGAAGAAAAGCTCCACATAAGAGTGCCTCAAGAGATGTGGTTTCAGTAAAACCACACCATGCCCAGAGGGCTGGGGAGAGCCCCTTGTCACACCCTGCAGCCAGCACAGCCACACTCCTGGACTGCCTGGACATGTGGGGACCAGGAAGGAGCACAGAAGAGCCACCACGGAAATGCTGCACCTGGGGCTACCAGCACTGCAGACAGGACGACCCGCCAGGCCAGGCCCAGCCCTGCCCACCCGAGCAGGGCAGGATCACTGAGCTTCTGCTCCTGCTGTGACAGCTGGAAAGGGGAGGCAGAATCCGGCTACGAGGAAGGCTGGCATCCCATCCCACACACGTGCTGGTCTGGAGCACAGCAAACACCTTCAGCAGCAAAACAAGGCAAGAAAGGGAAATCTGCATGCAGCAAAGGAAAGTCACCAGCCAGGACCACACTTCTGCTTTTCACTGCTCAGTGGTGTCAGATCCCCAGAAATCAGTAGACTATTTCTTGTCTGCAGAAACACAAGACATTTGCACTTGCCATCCCTCCTCCCCTACTTGAATAAAGTTGGGGCCAGCACAGCTCTGCATTTTGCGACAAGAGACATGTAGAGGCAACACCTTCATGTATCCTTCTGCCAGAGGATCCAGCTCCAGCCAGCACTGTCTGAAGTCTAGACACAAAAGTTAAGGCTGGACTGAGAAAGACCTGCTCTGCAGCAGGTTAACCCTCAGACGTGAGCCATCCGAGGCCGAGTACCTGTACAGAATGGGTATGTTTCAACGCAAACAGTAAGTTTTGTCTCAGCCCCACTGAGGCAGCATGAGCTGGCCTGGAGGCTGTGCTGCCTGCTGGGTGCTGACTCACACATGTGCTCCCCTTCACGCACCTGCCTTAAAGTGGGTCACCGGTTCCTCCCACCCGCCGCAGCCCAGCTGTGCCGTGGCCTTGGCAGCACCGGTGCAGGGAGGGAGGCAGACCATGGGGCACTCACAGACAGCGCCTGGAGACACCTGCAGAGACCTCCCTCCTGTTCCTCACTCTCACCTCGAGCCTAAACAGGCCACCAGCTCTCCGCTGCTGGTGCCCGCCGCGTGGCACTGTGTCCCGGACGGCTCGAGGAAGGCGCCGAGTCCCAGGGAAGTGGTCCCACCTGCCCCGGGGTTGCTCCAGGGCCAAACGCGGCCGCTCCTCCCACTTACCATCCTGCCGGAGCGAGGAGACCCTGCCGGGTTGTGTCAGCCTCGACATGTGGGTCCGCAGTCTCCACAGAGGGCTGTGACCTCTGGCCTCCCCTGTCATTCCAAGGGATGTGCCAGTGCCCCAGCAAGGACCCTCCTCCTCCTCCTCTCCAGCCGCAGTTTGTACCCAGGGCCCGAACGCGGCCGCTCCTCCCACTTACCATCCTGCCGGAGCGAGGAGACCCTGCCGGGTTGTGTCAGCCTCGACATGTGGGTCCGCAGTCTCCACAGAGGGCTGTGACCTCTGGCCTCCCCTGTCATTCCAAGGGATGTGCCAGTGCCCCAGCAAGGACCCTCCTCCTCCTCCTCTCCAGCCGCAGTTTGTACCCAGGGCCCGGCTCTGGCTCC